ACGCTCAATTGCACATCTTGTTTTGCAATGAGCAGTGTTGAAGAAATTATGAATGGAAGTGGATGTTTATGTTATTTTTGTGTTTTGTCTCAAAATCAGAAACACTTACAGTGACCCCATGTTGGCTCTTCTACCTGTTCTTTACATAGCTGGTAGCCCACATTGTGATATGTTGTTTAGAGCACTGGTAATCCGGATTTGGTAATCTTGAAAACTGTATCTGGATCAGGGTGATCCAGTCCAATGTTGCTTTGAAAAACCGGCATAAAAGTAAGATTGATTACCTGATCCTGACACCTCTGGACACACCCCTGATTACACAGGCCATAGGCTGATTTTAAATCCAGATACTTACCTGGAAATGTTGGTGCAGGATCCTAGCGCTGTGCTTAATGGACTAAATAACAAATGTTACGTTAGAAAAATCTGATCTTAAAGTACAAAAATAAATTAGCAGAATTGCACTCACCAGGTATTTGAAAAACATGCATGAAATCCAAATTGTACTAACTTTGGATTTATGTTAAAATGAAAATATTGAAAAATCCTTTAGATTATTCAGACGTTCCAAATTTCCTCTAGTTGTTTAGCATAGCACAAAGGTTTTTGTTTTTTTCTTGTCTTCATACATTTCATTTGTTGTACAATTTAATTGTACTTCACAAAAGCCCTACTTATGCAGGTGAATTTTTAACGCTTAAATAGTAGTTTGAGATAGCAGCAAAGGCAAAAACACACACAAACTAATTGTATCATAATAAGCGAGGCATGTCGATTGACTTTCTTCATGTTGGACTTTTATTTTGTAGGGTATGAACACATAATTAGGTTAGAAAAGTGGAACAAGCTCACAGTAGGTCTTTCCTGTTGTGGTAGACCATCCATTATTTTAGTGCCTACATTACAAATCGCCTCTACAAAGCTAAGGAAATACAGTTCTTTACCAATTTCAGATATTATTAGTCACTGGAATATACACTGTATGCTATGTGAACAGGCCTATAAAGTTACACTTTTTAAATGCATGGATCGGGCCAGCTGAATTAGTTTTGTGTGAGCTGAACAGTTTCAATAAATAAGATAAATACTGTGCGGTACAATAGTGCTGTTAACACCTGTTGGGGAGCCCTGTTGAGTAAACTGCAGCCACTGTGGAAAACAAGTGGAGGTATAGACAGTGAAGACTGAGAAAAATGGTAATAGTTTTTCATCATATCCTAAATGTAGAAGCACCATGAGCATGTAAATCAAGATTTTCATATGAGTAATATGTGATGAAGAGGACGGGGGAAAATCAGACAGAACAGCACCTCCGGCCAGAGACATGTCTCCTATAATAACATTTGGTTTCTTGCATAGTTCTTGTGTCGCTCTGGCCTCAGATCTCCAGGACCTCCACTCATACTGACTTGCTCATGCAGTATCCCATTCGAAGCACTGTAACTTGTATGTGTACGGTGTGGTTTGCAGCTGCGGGGGATATCAGCTGTCGTAATGCTGCAGGAGTCTCGTGAGGTGGTGGCACAGGTAGGGGGGATTGTTTTATTGTCCTTGAGGAATTTCTTCTGTTTTCTTACTGGCCAGCGGGAGCCGCCTGTCTCTGCTGGAACTCCATCAGCTCCTGCTTGTACCAATCAGGGGCCTCGGGGCCATTCTTCCCTGTCGGCTCGTGATCGTAACCGTAGGCAACCACCAGCTCTTCATCTTTCTGCACGGCCTTCAAGGTTCGGACGCACTTGATGGAACCAAAGCGAGGGTGGACAAACCTGCACCACACAGAAATAAAAACCCTTCAGACAAGAAAAACAATCAATAGGCTTAATGCGCTATGAACATCTGAATGTTGTTGTGTTAACAATAGTGAGAGCTATGGAATATGCAATCTTTTACATCTCTTTCTTACCATCAGGTGTGTAAAAACTGCTGGTTATGAACTTCTTTTAAAAAAACTAAAATGTGAAATTATCGTTTATCTTATCAGTATCGGCCATTAGAAGCAGGTAATTATTATATGGGCTCCATACCGTGCATCACTAAAACTTCACATCAACTTTTTTCTTTTATCGAAAGTATTTTTAGGGCATATTACCCCTTTATAAGAGATTCGACAGTAGAGAGAGGAGAGAAATTGGGATTGACATGCAGTTCCCCAGCCGGACAAACAATGTTCATGTTCAATTCATGTTTTAAAAAATGTTATCTAAATAAAACATTCGCAGCCAACTGTCATTTAAAACCACATAAATCAGTTATTCATATTTTGCCTTTACATGCCCCATCATGATGTATAACTATCTGAAAAATATCTTATCAATATCCATATATTCATTAAATCCATATTGCTGAGTCCTTCATAAAACTTTGTTTCATAACCTCACGTCATAACTACACTTCATAGAACATCATCTTCCAACGCGCCTTTTCCCCCCACGTGCAGCTGCAACAATTACTTTCATCAAAATGTTTTGCTCTTTTAAACCTAACATGAGATGTGTGCACGTTTGAAGATTTAAACCCTTTTTCAGTGCATCTCAAGATATAGCCATCAGTATGTTTTGGAATTGGAAAGTTTCTCTGTGACGGTAGAGGCTCATACTAGCAGCCACCTAGCTGCTAACAGCTCAGTGGGGGTTCATAGTAGGAAATGGTAAGGAAATAGAAGAGCTGTTTACTTACTGTCAGTCTTTATTTGCTGCTATGGAAAGGAGATTGACCAAATTTAATTCAATGATGTTTCACTGGTTGCTGTTTGCAGTTTTTGGTACACAAATTATGAAGCAGTAATTCTGTGATTTTTTCCAGTCAGTTTGTACTCACGGGTCATATTTGCAGTTGGGGGTGAAGGAGTGGTTGGCCTTGTGACCCAGGGAGGCTCCGTATCTGTCCGTCTGGTCAAACGGCTGAGGGACGTCGATCACCGTATCCTCGTCCAAAGAGATCGTGTTTCCGTTCAGTGCCCAGTCCCTGCTGTCCACCTGAGGAGTCCACGTAGTTATGAAAAAGACAAATGCTTTCATTTCTACAAAACACAGAAAACTAATGATACATGGAAAGGGTAGACAATTGAACATTTTATCATTTACCAATGCTTTTAGTAAGTAAGTAAGTAAAGTTT